AGCTTGTCTGTAGTGAATGTGTGTGTGTGTGTGACAATGAGCTTGTCTGTAGTAAGCTTGTGTGTGTATCAGAGTTTTTTCTGTACTAAATTTGTGTGTGTACCAGTAAGCTTGTCTGTGTGTGTCATTGAGATTTTCTGTCAGTGAGCCTATTTTTGTGCATCAGTGAGCTGGTGTTTTTATGTAAATGAGCTTATGTGTACCTGTAGTGAACGTGTGTGTGTGACAGTGAGCTTGTCTGTAGTAAATTACACAGTAAAGCATACTCACATTTGAATTATAAAAATTAATCTATATATGTATACACATACATAGATATATTTCTTTTTATAATTCAAAATATTAGTCCTTTCAGGGTCATTAAATTACACAGTAAAGTATACTCACATGCAGACACAGACAATCTTACTGACACAAGCTCATTGTTACACAGGCTCACAGACAATGATACACAGGCTCACAGACAAATATTAAAACACACACACTACATAGCACAATGACTTATGGGACTGGCATAGATTTTTTTCCAGGGCTGCTTTGTATCCCCAGTCCGGCCCTGCACTTGAGTCATAGTCATGGTACTTAGATTCTGTATGTGCAGCATTTTGCTATGAAACACTGCAAATACCGAGTTTAAACCCTTTGTTGCCTGAAATGAATTTCTACATTATTCACCTTCATCGGGGCGTCATCACTGGTGTACATACCGCGACCAGTATGTATGCCAGTTTGCCAGCCTCTTCTCCTGGCCCAGGAGCTGGCCACCTCAGGGCCCCCTGAGGCTGGCCCTGGTGTCAGTGGGAGGATGGGCACGCGCACGAGGGAGCATTCTCCCCCGAGTGCTCTCTGCCTAGCTCCCTCGCGTGCACCGCAGTGATGCCGGAGCTGGAATATGATGTCATTCCGGCTCCGGCATCAGCAAGCATTGCACGAGGGAACTGAACAGGAGGCTCAGTGCTCCCTCGTCGCCTGCAGGACCGGCCACCCAGCAATCCCACTGGACCCAAGGGAAACCCTTCAGCACTCCCAAAGGTAGGGATACTGGGGGATTAAATTAAAAAAAAAATCTATATGAGTGTGTGTGTATATGTGTGTTAGTGTGTGTGTTAATTTTTGTGTTTGTGTGTGTGTTACTGAGTATGTTAGTTGTGTGTTTGTGTGTGTCTGTTATTGAGTGTGTGTCTGCTAGTGTGTCAGTGAGTGTGTTAGTTTTTGTGTGTGTTAGTTTGAGTGTGTCTGTTATTGTGTGTGTCTGCTAGTGAGGGTCTTTGTGTGTGTGTTACTGTGTGTGTCTGTTACTGAGTGTGTTAGTTTGTGTGTGTCTGTTAGTGTGTGTCTGTTAGTGAGTGTGTGTTTGTCAGTGAGAGTGTATGTTTTGTAAGTGAGTGTGTATGTTTGTCTGTCAGTCAGTGAGTGTGTATGTATGTCTGTCACTGAGTGTGGGTCTGTTAGTAAATGTGTGTGTCTGTTAGCTAGTGTGTATGCGTCTGTTCATGAGTGAGTGTGTGTGTGGTTAAAACCCCTTCAGCCCTTACCTTTCTCCAGAGCTGGGCTCTCAGCTATGAATGTGCATGCGCGGCAAGATCTGCGTGAGCATTCAAACCGCCCATAGGAAAGCATTACTCAATGCTTTCCTATGGACGTCCAGTGTCTTCTCACTGTGATTTTCACAGTGAGAAGCGCGGAAGCGCCTCTAGTGGCTGTCTCACTGAAACTGCTTTGTTTTTAGCTGCAGGGTTAAAACTAGAGGGACCTGGCACATAGACCACTTCATTGAGCTGAAGTGATCTGAGTGTCTATAGTGGTCCTTTAAGTGTATGTATCTGCATGCATTGGCGTACATACCGCGGTCGCAGGCGTCGCAGCCCTGCGACCGGGTGCCCAACGCCATTTGTTGCAGCCCCAGCCTGTGCAGAGTAAGCGCGGGGAGAGGGCGGGGGGCCCATGGATCATTTTTTGCACCGGGGCCCCATGGATCACGTGTACGTCACTGGGCGTCATGTCAGTTTTGTGCATGTTAAATGTCTGGTGTCAGCAAGTACAGCATCTAATGGCAATCCCCACCCCATGCTGCCAATGTTCTCCAGCAAGGGGAGGGGAGAACTTGTCCTCTGTGTTGGAATAGAGGTAATTTGTAGCTTTAGTTACAATTTTTTATTTTAAATTTGGAGCTGGGGGCAGGATAGGAAGGGTTATTGTAATAAAAAGGAACTGTATTTTTTTTAAAAAAAACCTTGCAGAGATAAGAAAGAAGATCTGCTTGTCTAGCTGATTTTCACTGCCACACACCTATAAAAAGCACATACAAAGGTGACTCATGTTAAGTACCTTAAGTAATAGTTACAAGGTATATGAAACCCCAAATAGCCTCTGGAATTGCTTTGTCTTCATCACAGCTAAATATCCCTCCACTGAACATTGAGTATCTTCAGCTCCATGTATTCCAAAATGTCTACTTTAAATTAAATACTGACAATATTTAGTTATAAGTACAACAGAAAGAAATTTGAATGAACCAAAAGAAAAGCTCAGAATGTGTCTCCATCCATGTTCAATCACCTAAGATATGTTAGTGGACCCTACTGACTCTGGGTTGAAAGAGAAAACAGAATACTAGAGAACACCAGGAATCAAGTTCATAGGACGAACGACCAAACTTACCCCATAGGTGCTGCATACAAATTATGGGTGACTTCAGGACTGCTTTATTTCAGTGCTAAGGAATAGAAAGTCTATCTCCTTCATAGAGCCACATAATAAAGGCAAGGTGTTGAAATTTTCCATGGACAAATGTTTGTGTTGTGATTGTACGTGGTCCATACTATCTACATGGTTTTTGAGGGGTGTGCTGTTATGCATAATCCACTTGGCTCATTTTCACTTGTGTACAATCTCTATAGCTATGATAGATTGCACCTAAATGGATGAGGGTCTGCTATGTTGGAGGACAGGATTGCTAGAAGGTTGGAAGGGATTTTAAAATAGTGGTGGGGTGGCTAGACAACATTGAAGTATACAAAATGAAGATAGAACTTTAAGGAGAAACAATGAGGTCAGCACAATGGGGCTGGTGATGGGGGAGGGGCAAGATCAGAACAGAGGATAAATGAAATAAAAGTCTACATACCGTACAAGTTACACATTGCAATTTAAAATGTATGCTTACTAATGCAAGGAGCCTGTTACGGTTGCCTCCAGGCTGGCTGGAAGTTGGACCGTAGAAAAAGATGCTCCTAGCGCTCACCAAAGGACCATCAGCACCGTAGACACCATAACTACTGCGTAGCCACCAGAAGTACTGCAGACTCCACGAACCACCGCTGCTGGGCTGGTATCTCGCAGTCTGCTCTATGCCTGGACCCACGACCAGGCTCCAGGTTGCAGTAGGTGAACCTCTTCCTTCTGCAGAGCGAAGCAGGATCAGGAACAAGAGCTCAGTAGCTAAGGGAGTATGAAGAGCATAGCAATCCCTGTAGTGATTATAGCTGTCCCCTACAAATATGAGTCAAGGCTGCAAGTTAGAGGGTCAAGAAGATCTGATGTTTAATGGCACACACTCTGCTTTTATGAGATTCTGCCCATGCAAGGGAGACACCCACATAATTAGCAGTATAACCAATCGGAACAATATACATTCGGGGAAATTCCCATCCCTCAGATAATCACATAACATAATTAAAACAGAACAGTAAAAATACAGTTTTTATACATGTACTATAACTTCCAAACTACACATCCAATCTTCATAAAAATACATATTTAGAATCAATCCATTCAGGGGAGCAACATATTAAAAACTGGCACAAATCAGACAAGGGGTTCAAAAGTTAGCAAAAGTATCTTTTGGGGCCTGGCTGGCAGCATGGTTTTCTGGCCCAAACCGGATTTACAGAGCCCTCTATCCTGGACAATGGGGAAAGTAATCCAATTATCCAGGGATAGAGGCAGACTCCATTAACCACATGTTAGCAAAAGACACAAAAAGACACAAAAATGCATAACTCCTATCATACTGAACAGAACCCCCACATTCAACCTATCCCCAGATGGCTTGGATCTGAGCGCTCAATATATCCAAACAGCGCTCAGATCCCACAAATACAGTCAAATCGCCATACACACTAGGTCCATAGTCATGGGGCAGAAGGCTGGCAATTAGGCTTCTCCATAACACAGGGAAGCAGGGCAATTTGTCAAATAAAATAACAGTTACAAATGGCAGTTTGTAACAGAGCCTACATAAGAAAATGGGGATACTAGAGGAAATAACATACACCAGGCAATAAGGCTTAATAGGCATAATGGAAACTTGGTGGGATGAAACACTTGACTGGAAGTTAACTTAAATGACAACCAGTGGCGGATCCAGGGGGGGGGACAACGGGGCAATTGCCCCCCCCGAGAAATCCGCCGGTCTCCCTCTCCCTCCCCTGCCAGCACATGCAGGTGCTAGCCCTGCAATGTGCCTGCGGACCGGGGGGAAGATCAGAGATCTCCCTCCCCGGGCCGCAGGCACTGTGCTGAGAGCCGGCAGGGGAGGGAGAGGGAGGAGAGAGAGGACCTCAGCCTGCAGCTCCTCCGGGTCCTCCTCTCGTGAGATTTAGAGCGTTGCCGCGGTTACCACAGCAACGCTCCAAATCTCGCGAGAGTGAACTCTAGCCCGGGAGCGCGGGCTAGAGTTCACTCTCCCCACTGGAACCACCAATGAATCCCCACTGGGACCACCAGGGATCGAAATATGTCCCCCCTCCTCCCCAGTAAAGGTAAGAAGGGAGGGGGGACATAGGATAATATTTATTTTAAATAAATAAAAAAAAAATATAGAAAAAAAAGCCATACACACATACATTGCCCCCAATACTGCCCCCCCATTCACACAAACTGCCCCCCCATACACACAAACTGCCCCTATACACACAAACTGCCCCCCCATTCACACAAACTGCCCCCCATACACACACACTGCAACTGTTACACACACATACTGTCCCACACATACACTGCATCCCTGACATACACTGCCGCCCTCACTCACACACTACAACCTTCACACACACACTGCACCCCTTACACATTGCACCACTCACACACACCACTGCTCCTATGCCCTAATACAGCCCCATTTCCCAGCAGATCTCAGGTAAGTTGTAACTGTTCTTAAACGGTTTGACTACTTACTGTGGGAGGGGGTCCCGGCACTATTGACACCATAACCACTAAACTGAGCTGTAGTGGTTATTGTGTCTGGATTATTTCTTTAAATAATCTACAAGTGCCCCTCCCGAGATCAGGCTCTGGATCCACCACTGATGACAACACATTATTTAGGAAGAATAAAAAAAGGTTGAAAGGAATGCTTGTATGTTAGCAACGTTTTAAAGACAAATATTAAGCAAGTGGTGTGTGATTAGGAAAATGGGGACATTGTATGGGTTGATATCTGCTTGGGAAAAAAAAAGGAAAATTTATTGGTTGGCATATGTTATAATCTGTTAGAGCAAATTGCTGAACATTACTTTAATTATTGGAGATTTTATTTACAGGGACATACGTTGTGTAACCCCTCTGGGTTCACGGTAATTTCTGCTGGGTCATTGACTACCCTGCAATTTTAGTGTGGAGACAGGCAGATGGCGAGCTTTGTGACATGGTTTAATATATATTCAGAAATCCATTAAAGTGTTCAGAGTGAGTTAAGAGCTGATGTAAGAAGTAAAAGACCCCTGCTAAGCAGAGAGCACGAGGCCTGGGATTGAGACCTGTTTGATTCTATTCTAAAGATCCTGAAAACACATTCCAGCAGATAACTATTACCAGGTCAAGATGCAGAACAGTTGTAGCAGACTGATGTGAACAGGGAGAAATTCTTAGCAGCAGTTGAAGGAGCAGGTCCCTTGAGAAGTGGAAGGCTCAGAATCTCTCCCCCTGTTTCACAACAGGGCACTAAGAAATTGCCAAAACTAATTAACGACCTTGGGAAGGTTTAACTTAGTATAGCCAAAGCCACATTGTGGATTCCTGAGTATGGGCCCAAACTATGTGCACCAACTACCATATAGATGCATGTATAAGTCGATCTCGTGTATAAGTCGATCTCGTGTATAAGTCGAGTGCAGTTTTTTGACCAACAATTGTGATATATGCTTTGACTCTATAGGAGGAAAGAATCAGAGTACCGCGTGGCCCCCCTGTGCCGCGACACACCGGGAATTCTCTTGAAACTCGCACTCACCCGTGTATAAGTCGACTCTGCATTTTTACATGAAGTTTACAACAAAAAGATGACATTAATATTCAAAATTTATTGGACTAATATAATCTCCCTAAAGCTTGTTAAATTATTACTACAAGTTATTGACTTTTTGGGACCACTCTTGTTTTTGAATGTGCTCGTTTATGATTCTAACACTGTTCTTCTAAATAGATAGCTGTGAATAGATTAGAAGAAAGCTATCCCATTAAATCATTTTGCAAGGTATACAATAAAGAGATATTGAAACATTTGAGCCAGCATGACTGTAAAATATTAAACCTTTATTGACACACATTAAAATGTGAAAGCCATCTTCCAGGTAAAGGTAAAAATGATAATGCACTGCATGCATCCACAGCTATCAGAGTTTAATCAGCAGCATAATGTGAATATTCCAATTTACTCCTACACAGTGAATTGAATTCTATTAGTTTGGTAAATAATCAGCATCACGGTATCTTGTATTACCATTTTATTGTTGGACTAACAGAACTCGGGAATATTATATATTTTTGGAAGCTGCTCCCTTTATCAAATTTAAAGAATTAATTTATGTGCCATTAATTTATGGGATCATTATATTTTTGTTAATTTACGGGCCATTCCCATGGAAAATACAGCATTCTTCTTACTTTGCTCTTTTGATTATATTTTTTTTCAAAATTTCATATAAATATAATACGTATATAATGTATAAACTTGGTCACAGCCCTGGATGAAACATGGGGAATGCACATCATAAAGCTGGGCTCTAGAGATTAGCAGGGGCAGTATAAGCTGAGAGGCACTACCAAGTTGGTGAGATTGTGTACTGAAACATCTGCTCAGAAAGTGGGCTGGACCTGCCCAAGACCCGATGGGAGATACTACAAAGGGTAGGTTGAAAATTACATGGCTAACAAACTGTGGGACTTCCAGATCCAGGGAGACAAGCAAGTAGTGGCCAACCAGCCTGACATCATAATAGTAGACAAGGAACAGAAGACTGTAGTGGTGGTGGATGATGACCATAACATCAAGAAGAAGGAACATGAGAATGTGGACAAATACCAAAGACTGGAAAAGGAGCTTGAAATTATGTTGGGCCCCTTTCAGTAGTGTTCCGGTTAGGGCTGTAACTCCAAAGTTGGTAAAGTGACTTTAGAAGATTCCAGGTGGGACATCAGAGATCTCTGTCCAGAGGAATGCATTTCTAGATACATTAAAAGAGTGCACCTGCACCAGCTCATTCAACATACATAATCAAGAACACTTACTGAACTATAAGCTGGCTTCAAAATCCATAAAATGTAGATTTTTATAAAAAATTTAAGTACAGTATACAGTGAGGGAAAAAAGTATTTGACCCCCTGCCGATTTTGAACGTTTGCCCACTCATTGACATGCAAATCAATTTATAACTTTTTTGACATGCGCTTTTTTGGATTTTTTTTTTGTAAATCTGTCTCTCACTGTTAAAATACATCTACCATAAAAATTATAGACTGATCAATTCTTTGTCAGTGGGCAAACGTTTCAAAATCAGCAGAGGATCAAATACTTTTCCCCCTCACTGTATGAGCTTACATTACTTAAGCCATGCCAGTACAGAAATCACTAACAACGTAATGCCTGCCCTTATGAGATTAACCCATTACTTGGGAAACAGAGTTTAGGTTGGTAGAGTAGGAACTGCCAATAGCGAGTACATTGGTGTTGTATCAGACTTATGCAATGTATGATCATATACTGTGAATAAATATATTTTTGCCTGTCTTTAAAATTGTGTGGTTTTTGAAGATATTTTTTTTATTAGGTGATTGTGTATCTATCTATCTTAACTGCAAAAATGAACAGTTCACAATAGAGATTTATCATTTACCTAATTGTCCTCTACGATGGTATTTAAGTTTTGAGTCA